ATGCAGTTCGGAGGCGATCTTTTTAAATTACACTCTCCTTTGTGTTTCCGTCATCATGAAATTCATGAATTTTAACGAACTAGCTATATGCGTAAAGGACAGCTGCTGACGTTCTTGCATTGAAACAAATGAAGTCAATCCCAAGAATGTCAATTCCAAGAAAGGAGTTCATAGCAATAGGCAAGATCACTAAATATAATTTATATCGTTTTCGTGTTTTTGTCTTTTTATACGGAAACAGGTAACAACTATTAAAAACATATTTTACTGAAAAAACAAATGGATTGAATGCAGCTGTCGACGAAAAAGGTTGCTTTCATATCATACAGGGACCAAACCCTGAAGATCATGAAATCATCTTTATTTATCAAAAGTTAAAAGTGAAATAGAAACACGCAATTAATCGTGGATACGTTATACATCGATCTCGTTCCTAAGGTGGTTTGAAATAGCGCTTTCCACAAATAAAATTGTCTTCAAGCAAAGGAAGAAGACCGTGCTCTGAGGATTAAGAAAGTTGTCCTTTAAACTATTACAGCGCCAAGGAAAACTCTCGGAGTGGTACAGATGCGTCACGCAAGCTCCACGAGTGAGGCGCTCTGAAACTTGCTAACCTACTTTTCAAGCACCTCCTACCTCCTACGGACTTTGCCGAGAATAAGGGACTACTCATAGTCTACTAAAATTTTGCTTTGGAAAATTAGTAGTACCTCTTGAACCTTTTTCTGGCACTACACGTACCGAGTAAAAATGCTTGAAGATGACACAAGACGAAAAAATTACCTTAGGAAGTGTTGAAAAACCGTATAAAGTCATAAATCGCTAAAGGAGCCACCTTACTCCGCTTATCAGCCCCTACTTGCACTGAAATAGAACATATTAAATCTGGATTTGATAACAAAAGTGTACCTTTGGCTAGAATCGTTGAAGGAAGCAGAGATGAAAGGTGGGAGGGGGGGGGATGATATTGCTTTCACAAGGTGTCTCATAATGATTTTGTTTTTCCTTTTTACGCGAAGTTGGCGTGATGGATCTGCGCAGGATGTCCTGGCTTCACTTTGTAATTGAAGTTCGCTTCAACTTCTTACTCCGTGCGCCTTGACAAAGGCTAAGCCGGTAAAGGAGACCGTTTTTATTGTTACCGACACATCATTCGTAGATGGACTGAAATGGACTAAAAACTCCTTTACTCAACAGAAAAAAAAAATTGTACAACTTCTCTTTTGATTCCTCTAAAAATATACATATCTGTCCAACTCTTGATTTACGATATTAAATGCAAAAGCAGGCATGCGTTTATGTCTAAGATAATTACCTATAATCAGAACCTTTTAAAAATTAAACATACTGATAGTTTAGAATTTACTAACAGTAAAAGAAAAAATTAGTGGGCAACGTTAATAATTTAGTGCAGTGTGGATCAAAAAACCCAAGTATTATATACACTAGGTTTCAGGGTTGCAAAAGCTACCGAGAAAAACATCTCTTTAAAATAAAATGTCACTTCACTGAGAGAGCAACTTTCAATTTTTTGCCCCGACCTTCACGGTAGAATTAAACATCTTCCTCTACTTGTGACATTTGGAGTTAATTTTTTATGCCAATTTTACTTTGAATTCGCAAATTTTGTTTTGTAGCTCAAAATTACAAAAATCCATTTGTGACTCTTTCTTAATGGATTGCTACTGGGTAATCCAATGTATTATGTCTACGTTTATAATTTCACGCTACTTTTTAAAAAGAAAACCAGTGCTATGGTGACAAGGAATATGGAAAAGAAGAGTTTATTAGCTAATTAAACTGCATTCACAGCCCACGTGCAAAACTAGAATGATTCGCCAGGGTGAAAAGCGACGTTATTTTCAAATGAAATAACTTCCACTTTACCGTATTGACATATCTCTTGCTTTATCAAACACTGAAGGCACATTTTTGACAGCTAATAAAGGCATGTCTTAATGATCTAACAAATGTATGCAGCTGTTGGCATAAAAGTTGCCTTCGTATCTGACAGAAGCCAAACTCCAAATAGTGCTGGCAACGATTTTTATTACACGACTCGGGCAGTCAGAGGGACAATAACTAAAATCAACCAATCAAAATGCTCTATTGCCGGTCCAATATTCTCTAAGTATTGGACCGGGCACTGTCCCGAATGGTCCCTAATTGAACCTTATATACCTTATACACTATTATTGTCTGACTCGGGCAGTCAGAGGGCCAATAAATAAAATCAACCAATCAAAATGCTCGATTGCCGGTCCAATATTCTCTAAGTATTGGACTGGGCACTGTCCCGGATGGTCCCGAATGATACCACACTTGTGTACCTTTGAACTTCAGTCGTATAATAAATCTCTTATTAACCAAGCTTGCTTGGGACCGTACTGGAAGAATATCGGCCCTAGGTCTTTTTTGTA